GGAATTCCCATTTTTCTCAGAGTCAGCCACAGTTTGTTATGTTCCACACAGTCAAACGCCTTTGCATAATCAATGAAACACAGATAGACATTCTTCTGGTATTCCCTGCTTTCAGCTAAAATCCATCTAACATTAGTTACAGTATCCCTAGTACCACGACCCCTTCTAGACCATGACATATATTAATAAGGATTTTTTAATATTTAAACAATAAATTTAATTTTCACTGTCAAAAGTGTCAAATCACAATGGTGTAAGAGGTAGGGGATATGGTAGAGTCAATATTTGAATAGTAAGTAAGAATAATGCAAGCTGGAAACTGGCATGTGTGGTAAAACTTATTTGTGTCATTTAGTATCTAGAGTAGAATAAGAACATATAAACAAGACATATAAGTGGTAAAAGTTATCACCAAGAATGATTAGTTTATAACAGGAGTATGTGGCAGAGTAAACCCAATCCAGTCTTGCTGGTGGACTAGGTGGTATATAAGAATGAGTTCTGAAGAAATTTCCTGGTATGAATTTCAGTCAAACGGAGAATTGAGTGTGCAGTTGGAATTAGACAGTTGGAAAATTATAGGAATCTTTCTGCTCATGGTATTACCAGTGGCCAAATAAAGAGAAGATCAGTGGGAGTTTAACATATTGAGCCATAAAAGTAGAAAATAGTGGAGAAATGAAGAGATATCTAAATCTAGATTTTTTTTCTTTTAAAGGGTATTTTTAAGTCCTGTTGTTGTTATGTGCCATTGAGTCACTTGCAACTCATAGCGACCCTGTGTACAACAGCCCTAAACTGTGCTTTGTCCTGTGCCAATTGCGCTCATCCTGATTACCCCAGTCACTGAATCAATCCACCTCATAGAGGGCCTTCCCTTCCTGCACTGTCCCTCCACCGTACCAAGCATGATGTCCCTCTCCAAGGACCGGTCCCTCCTTACAACATGTCCAAAGTATGTTAGACGGAGCCTTAGAAGAATCCTTGCCTCCAGAGAGCGGCCCAGTTTATCCCTTTCCAGGATGAGTCTGTTTGTTTTCCTAGCAGTCCATGGTACATTCAATACTCTTCTCCACCACCACAGCTCAAAGGCATCAATTCTCCTTCTATCCTCCTAAGTCAGTGTCCAACTCTGATGCATAACAAGTGATAGCAAAGACCATGGCCTGTATCAGATGCACCTTAGTCTCCAGAGAGACACCATTGCTCTTCAGTACTTTGGAGAGGTCCATAACAGCAGACTTTCCCATGGCAATACGTCATTTAATTTCCTGGCTACTGATGCCGAGACTGTTAACTGTGGAGCCAAGCAAACTAAAGCTATGAAAAATCTCAATCTCTTCACCATCCATCCTGATACTGTCAATTGGTCCAGCGGTAAGAATCTTTGTCTTCTTGACATTGAGCCTCAATCCATATTGGAGGCTGCAGTCCTTGACCCTCTGCAGCAAGCACTTCAGGTCCTCCTCAGTTTCAGCAAGCAGGGAGGGTTGTGTCATCTGCATAATGCAGATTGTTGATGAATCTTCCACCAATCCTGATACCACATTTCGCCTCATAGAGCCTAGCCTCCCAGATAATCTGTTCTGCATGCAGGTTGAAAAGGTATGGAGACAGGACACATCCCAGGCATATACCCTTCCCAATTTTGAACCATGCAGTGTTTCCTTGCTCAGTTCTGATGACTGCCTCTTGGTCCAAGTATAGATTTCTCATTAGCATGATCAAGTGTTCTGAAATGACTAAATTTGTATTTTAAATGAACAAATTATTTTCTATAGATAAATTCTATTAATAATGTTTTGCTTGGAAGAAAGAGTGGCATCCACTTCTGAAATGGTTTCTCTCTGGAAATACTATTAACTTGGAGAAACGATGAAAGTTATACACGTGTTCAGGTCTTTCATGCATAGATAGGGTCGCTATGAGTAATCTACAACTCCATGGCACTTAACAACAACAACAACAACAACAACAACAATAACAACAACAACAAAGGGAGAGCTTTGTTGGCCTAATGGATATAAAGTGATCTTACCAAGCCAAAGGTGGGTGATTTTAATCTGCAGGTTTTGGTCAAACATTCTTCAAAGCTATAGCACTGGTCTGTCCATTTGCTGTACAGAGGTAACCCACGGCTGCTGTGATGCTAAACACTGTGACACTGATGTGTCAAATGTGATAATGGTTACTGATGGTGGACAGTGTTTGGTGGAGCTCCCCGATTAAAACATGCTTGAAAGCAGGAGTGGCATCCATTTCTGAAATAGCTTGCCTCCAGAAACTCTATGAACTTGGAGAAATGACGAAAGTTATACAAGTGTTCAGGTCTTTTATTCATAGGGACAGTATGAGTCATTTACTACTCGACGGCACTTAACAACGAACAACAACATCTAGCTTTCATATCCTCTATATTTGTCTTGCTGTTTGTGTACATACCACTATTACTAAGTAGCCCTTTGGACTTGATACCATATTATGCTTTACTGGTTTTGCTTTTAATTTTAGTGAATTCATTATGTCTTGTGTATTATTTCATTGTGTTTCTATTTTCTTCTAAATCAATACAGTATTTTGGGAGCAGACGTTTTTACTTCTTCCATTAAAGTTTGAGATAGTTCATTAGATACATAATTTCTTAAAATATTAGAGCCTTTCCATTCACAAACGTTTTGGAGAATCCTAAATTTTAGTCTTGTTCTCTGTTTTTAGTATGCCAAGAATAATATTAATATTGCCTTCGTTAGTGCTTATAAATGATGCTGATTTTCAATATTATTCTAATTTCTCTGTTATTTTGAGAGAATGTGGGGTTTTTTTCCCAGTAATGATGTGTACTATTACAGTGTCATTTTCTGTCATATCTTACAATCTTCAACATTAATAATGCAAAATTGAGTATGAAGTCATTGTTTTGTTGTTGTTTATATGTGCTCTCAAGTCGAGTATGACTCTTAGCAGCCCTATGAACAAAAGATTTGAACTCTGTGCTATGCCATCCTCATACATACTGATGCACAAGACCCTATTGCAGCAATCACCGTGTCAGATCACCTGGTTGAGGGTCTTCCTTTCCTTCACTGAACCTTCACCCTTCATACTATTATGTCCTTCTTCAAGTAATTGACCCTCCTAGCTACATGTCCAAAGTATGTGAGATGAAGCCTCATCATTCTTGCTGCCAGAGAGCACTCCAGCTGCATCTTCTCCAAGACATACCTGTTTATTCTCTTGGCCTCCATGAGATGAACAGAGCTCTTCTCCAACACCACAACTCAAAGACATGAAGTTTTTTTCTGTACTCCTAATTCATTTTCCAGCTCTCAGATGCATAGCAAGTAATTGGAAAGACTATGGCCTGAATCAGAGGCACCTTAGTCCTCATACTGACATAATTAATCCTCAATAATTTAGAGAGGGCACTAACTGCAGATTTTTCCAGTTTATTTCCTGAACACTAGTAGGATAGGTGTTAATTTTGGAATCAAGGAAGACTGAGTACTGCTTCAAAAAGTTTGTTTATAATGAATACATTAAAAGGAGCTGATCACATTTTTCACCAAATACAAAGTCTTATCCAGATAAGGAAGAGACAAAATAGAATGGAAATCTAGAAAAATATGTATAATGTTTCTGCTGTCCTTAGTCTTCTAATGCTTTGTAAATAATGTAATTCTTTTAACGAAATCATTAAAGGCTTGTATTACTTGTTTGTTCCTTAGAGTATAAATAAACGGGTTTAGCATAGGAGAGATGGAAGTAATTAGTATTGTCACCCCCTTATTAATGGACATTTCATTTTTTGCTGAAGGTTTGATGTAGACAAAGATGCAACTGCCATAGGTAATAGAAACCACAATAAAATGGGAGGAACATGTAGAAAAGGCCTTTTTCCTCTGTTGAGCAGATGGGAATCTGAGGATTCTTTTAATGATATATATGTAAGATAAAACCACACACATAAGAGTCATGATAAAGATTATCACACAGCAGACAATAATCATCTGCTCTATGAACCGTGTATCTGTGCATGATATTTTTAGAATCGGATTAGCATCACAAACAAAGTGATCAATGACAGAATCACAGTATTCCAGATTCAGTTCCAGGATAATGGGTGGTGATATGATCAACAAAGTAGTCATCCAGCAACCTAGGAGAAACCTTTTGCAGACCCTCTGGTTCATGATCGTCACATAATGTAGGGGTTTGCAGATGGCTACATAGCGGTCATAGGACATGGTGGCCAGCAAGAAAAATTCTGTTACTATAAATAAGTCTGTAAAAAACATTTGGCTTATGCAAGCATTAAAGGTAATGGTTCTATCACCTGTTGATATACTGTATAGGAATCTAGGAATGCAGGAAGAGGTGAACAATATTTCTAATAAGGAGAAATTTTGGAGAAAAAAGTACATGGGTGTCTTTAAGTGGGAATCCATTAATGTTAGACAGATGATAGTTAGGTTTCCAATTAAACTCAATATGTATGTGATCAGTAGAAATATAAAAATCAAAATTTGCAACCGAGTGTCTTCTGTCAGTCCCAGAAGAATAAATGTTGTAAAGGTTGTATAGTTCTTCATCTCTGCTTCCTGACTTCTTACATATCTGCATGTGAAAATATGAGACATATAAGTGACAAAGATAGGGATGACTTTTACCTTCAATTTTTACTAGAAAACCTAGATATAATCTATCTTACATAAATTTGCTTGAGGTGATAATAAACATGTTTTTTATTTGTATATTTTTATTTTGAGACTTTCTTAGTCAATTATAAAGAATCATCTGACTTCAGGATCAATGAAAGCCTTGTCAATAACATGAGTTATGCAGTTGATCCAATCTTGGTTGCTGAAAGTGAGATGTTACTCCAAATAATCGAAGACTATAGCGTACAATATATATTACATCTCAACATCAACAACACAGAAATTCTAAACTCTGGTCCAATAGGTAAATTATAATAGATGTGGAAAAGTTTGAAGTTGTTAATGACGTCACCTTATTTGGACCTACAAATACTATAATTACTAGCAGTTAAGCAATCAAAAGATATATTTCCTTGGGATAATTTGCTATCATTTTGAAGAATAAGGTGTATCTGATTTGAACCGAGATCTTTTTAATTACTTGTTACGCATCTAAAAGTTAGACACTGCATAAGGATATTGTTGTGGTTGTTGTTAATTGCTGTTGAGTCACTTGTGACTCTTAGCAACCCTATGTACAACAGCTCTGAACCCCACTCTATCTTGAGTCTCCTCGTCATCTCCACCACACTCTATTCCAGTTACTGGGTCAATTCATCTCATCCAGGGTCTTCCTCTCTTGCACTGCCCCTCCACCCTACCAAGTATACTATCTCTCTCTGAGGACTTGTCTCTCCTTACAACATGCCCAAAGTATGCCATATGGAGCTTCAGAGTCCTTGCCTCCAAGGATCAGCCTGCGAAAAGATGACAGAAGGAGATGTGACTTTAAGTTGTGGTGTTGGAGAAGAGTACAGAATATTGAATGGACTGTCAAAAGAACCAACAAATGTGTCTTGGAGAATGTATAAACAAGGCATTCCTTAGAGACAAGGATGGCAAAACTTCATCTCACAAACCTTGGGCATGTCTCTAAAAAGGGCCAGTTCTTCAAAAAAGACATCATGTTTGGAAAAGTGGAGTGTCAGAGGAAGTGAAAAAGACCCTTAACACAGATGACTGAGAGTGATTGTAACAAATGTTCTGGGATTCCCTTTCTTCTCAGAGTCGGCCACAGTTTGTTGTGATCCCCACAGTCAAAAGCCTTTGTATAGTCAATGAAGCACAGATAGACATCCTCTTATACTCTCTGCTTTCTGCCAAGATCCATCTAACATTAGCTATAGTATCCCTAGTTCCACAACCTCTTTTAAACCCAGACTGCACATCTGGCAGTTCTCTGTTGATGTGTTGCTCCAGTCATTTTTGGATAATTTTCAGCAGAATCTTCCTAGCATGTGATATTAATTATATTGTTTGATAATTTCTGCACTCTATCAGGTCACATTTCTTTGGAATGAGAACAAATATCTATCTCTTCTAGTCAGTTGGCCTGCTGGTTGTTCTCCAGATTTTTGACACAACTTAGCACATTCAGGGCAGCATTTGTTTGTTGAAATATGCCCATTGGTATTGCAGTCAATTCCTGGAGCCTTGATTTTTGACAGTTCTTTCAGAGAAACTTGAACTTTCTCCTTCATCACCATAGGCTCTTGCTCATACGTTGTTTCATGAAATTCTTCTGTGTCAGCCAATTCCTTCTGGAATAGTGACTGTATACTCCTTCCATCTTCTTTTAATATTTCTTGAATCATTTAACACTCTACCCAAAGCATCCTTAAGTATTGCCACTTGTGGCTTGAATTTGTTCTTCAACTCCTTCAGCTTAAGAAACACTGAGCGAGTCTAGCCCTTTTGATTTTCTGACTCCAGCTCTCTGCACATTTCATTAAAGTATCTTGCTTTGTAGTTCCAAGCATCAGTTTGAATGGCGAAGAGACTGAGAGAGTTAACAGTTTTAGTTTGCTTGGCTCCACAGTCAACACTCTTGGTACCAGGAGCCAGGAAATCAAGAGACAAATTAGAATGGGAAAGTCAGCTGTCCGGGACTTCTCCAGAGTACTGAAGAACAACGATGTCAGGCTGGAGACTAAGGCGCACCTGATCTGGGATATAGTCCTCTCAATTATGTGCTATACATTGGAGAGCTGGGCAGTGACTAGGGATGATAGGAAGTAAATTGATGCCTTTGAGCTGTGGTGCTGGATAAGAGTGTTAAATATATCATGAACTGCTAGGAGAGCAAACAGGTTTGTCCTGGAGAGGGTGAAGCCGGGATGTTCCTTGCAGTCAAGGACTCTGAAGCTTTGTCTGACATACTTTGAACATCTTGCAAGGAGGGACCAGTTCTTGGAGAAGGACAGCATGTTTGCGAGAGTGGAGGGACAGTGCAGGAGAGGAAGACCCTCGATGAGTTGGATAAACTCCATGATTGGGATAGTGACAGTAGGTGTGTTGGCACAGGATAGAGCAGGGTTTAGGGCTCTTGTACATAGGGTCGCTATGAGTTGCAAACAACTTGATGGCACATAACAACAACAAGTAAGATTTTGCTGAAAATTATCCAAAAATGACTATAAGAGCACATCAACAGAGGACTGCCAGAAGTGCAGGAGAGGTTTAGAAAAGGCTGTGGTACAAGGGAACATTATAATTAATGTTAGATGGATCTTGGCTGAAAGCAGGGAATACTAGAGGATTGTCTGTGTTTTATGAATATGTAACAACATTTTATTGAGTGGATCACAAAAACCTGTGGCTAACTCTAAGAAGAACGGGAATTCCAGAACACTTGATCATGCTTCTGTGAAAGCTAATCTTAGACCAGGAGGCAGTCCTCAGAACAAAGAAAGGAAACACTGCATGATTCCAAACTGGGAAATGTATATACCAGGGATGTGTCATATCTCCACACCTTTTAAATCTATATGCAGAACAGATTATTCATGAAGCTGGGCTCTATGAGGAGAATTGTGGCATCAGGATTGGAGGAAGACTCATCAACAATCTGCGTTATGCAGATGACAAAACCTTCCTTGCTGAAACTGTCGAGAGCTGAAGCACTTGACTGCACCCTTCAATATGACTGAGGCTCAACATCAAGAAAACAAGTATTCTCGCCACTGGGCCCATTGGCAGCATCTTGATGGATAGTAAAGAGACTGAGATTGTAAACAGCATTAGTTTGCTTGAATCCACAATCAACACTCTTGGCACCAGCAGCCAGGAAATTAAAAGACCAATTGCATTGGGAAAGTCCGCTGTCAGAGACATGAGTTACAGGTGACTTGATGGCATGGAACAATAATAATCGAATAAAAAAAAATAAAAATAAAAAAAGAAGATGACAGAACTAGTAGAATCACTATATCAAAAAGAACTTATTGACACTGTAAATTTTCGGTAAATAATGCATGAACAAAATTGTTATGGAGGAAAGATATTCAAGCTGCACAGAAGGCTTTGGTAAAAAAGAAGTCCCCAGGAATTTGATGAGATATCAATCGACCTGTTTTAACTAGCAGGTGCAGCCCTGGTTGGATGTGCTCAAAGTCTATGCCAGGAAACTTGAAAGACAACTGTCTAGCCAACTAACTGGAAGAAATATATATTGCTTACCACTTTCAAGGAAGGTAATCTAACAGAGTGTGGAAATTATTGAACAATATAATTTGTTCCTGAGACCAATATATTTTCCTGATTTTTAAGTCACTTAAGTTGCAATCACTTTTCATAAGTATTAAATAGTCACCAACTTCATTTTGTATTTGCTTCAATTTTTTCCCTGTAATTAATGATTTTTAGGTTACTCAACTGTGTATGATATGGTGTCTGAACATACTACTCCACTCAGATTATTCTGGGTATGGTATTTAGAGGATATCTTTATAGCTAAGTACATGAAGCCATTTTCACTTTGTGTTCCATTTTATTTGGTGCTACTAACCTCTCTTTCAGTCTCACTGTTCCTTAGACACAGTGCTTACCTGACTTTCATACTTGTGGTTTCTGTTTATCTGTGAATCTCTTTAAAGTATTTTCTTTCCCTATTTAACTTCATGACATTGAGATTTTTTAGACTTCTGTAGTGAATAGATACGACTTGCATGACAGAAAAACCCCTATAGACAAACCCCAAAACCAAACTAAATGTCACCCAAAACCAGTAACTGATTTCTCTGTGCTAACTAGTTATGTTTATACTCAAATCCTCTGCAATGCACTTGTCATATTTAAAGAAAAATTGTATTGTTGTTGTTGTATGTTATCAAAGTGTTTAAACTTATTGCAAGCCCATGTGACAGAGTAGAGCTCTCATTTATTATTTGTTGGTTTTAATTTTTATAGAAAAGAGCGTTTAGAATACAAAGGTAGAAGAGACTGACAAATGTCTAAAAGTCCAGAAGTGGAATCCACCAGCAAATTATCAGGAAAAAGTTTTTAAAATCTGATTGTGTAAATGGTAAGCCTGGGAAAATCTGGAATTCTCTGAGGCAGTTTGAATCTATCCTACAAGATCACTATAAGAATCAAAGATTAAGGTCTCTTTAATTCTGTTTTTGGAACAATAACTGCTCTGTGTAATTGCTCAGTCAATATCATACATTATGCTGACATTTAATGTTTTCTAAATCTTGTTCAAGTTCAATATGATGAGAAAAAAATCCTTATAAGAAACCTAATTGACTGAATTATCTGGATGATTTACTTGGTTTCTCTCTCTCGCTTTCTCTCTCTCTCTTTCTATATATATATATATACATATACATATACATATACACTCTTCTATATATATTCTCTACCTATCTATCCATCTCTATATCTCTATCTTTATCCCATCTATATCTGTATCTATCTCTCTATCTCTATATAATCTATATCTAATCTAGCTCTCTCTATCTCTATCTCTATCTATCTATCTCTATCTCTATCTCTGTCTCTGTCTCTATCTCTCTCTATCTCTATCTCTATCTATATCTAATCTCCCTTTT